AAGATTTTTAAACTTAAAAATATAAAATATTTTTAAACTTAAATTTTAACTAGAGAATATATCAAAAGCATAGGCAAACACTTTAAAGTATAAATGAAAGAAAAAATACCTCTGCAGACACTAAGTACACTGGGGTTATACTAATGCTATGGTCACACTGCTGGTATTTTATGCTTTTATATAAGCTTTGGATGCAATTACAAATTAGCAGTGATTAAAGTTAATAGGTAGTTGTGCTGTTGGAATGTCATTGCCTTAATTGCTCATGCTTTGAAGTGGTCATCAGTCCTTTGATGTTGTCTGGGATTGGCTGGGTGATTCTCTGGTGTCTGCTGAACTTGCACTTCTGTGTAGAGATATTGACTGACTGTCAGAAATGGCACAGCCTTTTCTGAGATGACTGGGGTGCATTGAGACACATTTCTTACCTTCCTACTAGTATCAGCTAATCTGGGGATGCTCTTTTTCTTGGCATTGGCAGGGGGCAGCAGCCCAAGTAGAAACACATGGGTGCTCTTTTGAAGCTGGTTTTTTTTGTTGTTGTTTTTATTGTTAAATCATATTTACTAATATTCCATTTACCAAGCAATGTAACAGATGACTGAGTCCAGAACAGGGATACTATGAAGACAAAACAGAGGGCCTGGCCATAGGTAGGGAGATTTGGAGCAAGATTTACAAAACACTACATAGTCCATAAAAGTTAATTAATCAAAGATTAATTTTAGATTGAGTGGTAGAGGAGTACCTTTTGTGATTTTTCCCTTTTTCTTTCATGAAACGTGTGTCTTTGGTCTTTATATTATAGATGCTCAGTCTCTTTCTTACAAGTGGAGCAAGGTTAGAGAAACCAGAAATGGGAAAAATGTAGAAGTGACATCTAGAAAGGGATAAACAACTATTAAAGATTGGTCTTTACATGAGCCAGTTACATGCCCTATGTGATTTCAGGGGTGCCTCACTCCTGCCTTTGTGTGGGACACAGAAACCCAGGGGAAGGCAATGTATACTTACTTTCCCCTAGCCAGGTTGGTGACACTCCCAAAGGAAGTGCAACCGAACTTTTCCAAGCCCAGAACCATCTTGCACCATTGCTTATAGGTGTGGATTCTCTATGCATGACCCCACTGACTTCACTGACTTTTGCCACTCTTTATCACAATCAGTACTTCTACAATGGATTTACTTTTGGGCATTGTATATTGTCATAAATCGCTACGAAAGACTGTGTTCTCATTTCAGATTTTCTCTTTTAAACTTACTCATCTTACATATTCAAAGCAGAATTTAATCTCCTTACATGCACATGTGTGTGAACATGTGCTGGGATTTTTGCTGGGATTCTACCTGCGTATTTCCCATCAGAAGAGAAATTTTAAATGTAACAGTTACTTTAAATGAGTCTCAGTTGGGAAGACTGCATGCAGAGGGGAAGCTGTCAGAGAGGTCATTGTGACACTAGTTTGAGACAGTGAAGCATGCTCTGTGGATTTTGTTGGAAATGGGATTAAAGCTTTTGATAGATATTCTTGTTTGCAACCCTCTTTCCTCTCCTTGCTAGAAGTAGTCAACCTGATCGCACAGTCCCCAGGTCAGGGGACAGGGAGACAGAAGAGAAAACATTCTTGGCAGTGGCGGTTTTCGTTGGTGATAAAACTATGGGTAGGTGTTATTTTAATGAAAAATTATTTTTCTAACAATAAGGTTTTCTATACTGCTGGTTGATACCAGACAGACAGTTCATTACATACAGAAACCTGCACACAGTTAAGGACCATTTAGCAGTGTATGCAATTGAAAGGAGGACTGTGTGTAGACTTTCACAGCAGCATAGAATTTTAGACCTTTAGGAACAGGAAAAATGCCAACTAATTTGCTACTTTTTTTCATATTTACTCTTCATATTCTTACACACTCAGTGATTATTTTATTTTTTAAAGCTATTTTACATGTTAACTTAGTTGCCAAACTTTGACTCTGAGGAGAGCAATAGTGCTGTCTCCAAAATATTTAAATATAAGGCCTGTCTTTTAGATGATGAAACCCGTATTTCACTTAAAATACCTCTATTTGGTATGCAGGACCACTGAGGGTTAAGATAAAATCTATACAACCATCAACTTTATTCTTTTTGGTGGGTAGATTTTATATTTTGTTTTTCTAAACAACAGAAAACAGTTATAGTTCCACCTCTTATGTGCTTCCTCCCCTATGAGCTATAAGCTCAGTCTGTGCACATATGTAAGATTTCAAGTGCAAACGAGAACAGAGCAGGAAACAGATTTTCACAGTTGCCGTCTGGGTCCTTGTGCAAGTGCCAATGTAAAGCTACTCGCTGAACAGTGAAACACAGTATAATGTTGCCTGGCTCTAAGGAAATGGATTTGAAAATCTAAACTTCAGAGCAAATCAGTTGAGTGGGGATTTGAGATTACTGTATCACATTCCAATGACATGTAGTGTTGTCAAAAACTTTTTTCTTTCAGAAGTAAAATTATGGGAGGGATTGAAATACCTTTCAAATTGTTGGAAAGAGGATTGAGTAAATTTAGTTAAAAATAATGAAAACATGTCACTTATGACCCAGGAAGCATATACTACAAGCACCTAAGTGTCTCAGGGTAAAGGACAAGTTTAATGTGGGCAGAGGGGAAGAGGTTTGTCTACATAATGAGATCTGTATGTAGGATCAAAAATAAAAAAGACAATTAGGGAAACATTTCTTAGTATACAAACAACAGAACTTGTGAGCTGGACTAGTTCTTTAATATAAGCTGTACAAGTACAACAGACTGATATTCTGAGAATTTTAGATATTTAAAATTCTATAACATTTTCTATTAACATTTTATATTTTCAAATTCAGTTTGAAGTTTGTAATGGATATATCACTTTACCAAGAAATTTGTCACTTAATAAGTGGAATTTCTGCCTGGTTCCTTGGCACATGGATTCATGTAAAACTGAAAATAGATAGCTGTCCAGAGACAGATCCTGTCTGTAAGTCAACACCCCTGAATGGGAGAAGTTCCTGTGATAGGCTTTTTTCTGCTGCATAGGATATTTTATTGTTACATATAAACCTCTACCATAAAGAGTTGGGGGGCTGATACTGTGTGATCTCCTGAGGCTGAAGGGAAATTTTAGAGTGGAATTTTTAGTTTCTCTGAACTGTGTGCATCTAACTTTAGGGAGGGCTTTTTTTTTTTTTTTTTTTTTTGTTACTGGGAATTGAATTCACGATGTCTTGGTTGCTAGGTAGGTGCTGTGCTGCTGAGCTGTATCCCTAGCTGAGCAGACTTCAGTTGTAGTATTTTTTAAAAAATTTGTCTGTGTGTATGTGTTCACGTGCAGTGCTGGGGATTAGTCAGGGTCTTGCACATACTAGGTAAGTGCTTTACTACTGAGCTAAACCATAGCCTGTGTAAGATCATTTTTAAATAGGCACTGTACATTAATAAACATTGTTCTCTTAAGCTAACTTTGAGTGCAACTATTTTAATCTTCAGGTTATGTTGAGTTGAAACTGATAAAGGCTATTCTTTCTTCTTCTTTTTTTTTTATCGATATTGGGGATTGAACTCATGACCACCTGCTTGCAAGGCAGGTGCTTATGCCACTGAGCTAAATCCCCAGCCCCTCTTTCTTCTTACTTACTGCTCAACTAGTTCAGTTGTCACTGGGGTTTTCTTTCTTCTCCTGCTTTCATTCCTTTAATTTTTGTATAGGAAACTGCAGAAAAATTTATTTTGGGCTAATGCATGATATGTTTTTAGATAACTCCAAAATGTAAAAATTTTGCATGTTGAGGTTTAATGAATGTTAATAGTGCTTATAATGATAGTGCTTATAATTTGGGAAGAAAGTTTCTTGGATAGGATTGTATTAGTTCAGCAGTTTTAGAGTAAGATGTTTGTGGGAGGGGCGACAGAAGCTTCAGTCATTGATTCTCTCTTTATAACTTTGCCCTTTTAGCTGGAACAGATTACTTGTATAGTGCTTCTAGCCCTGCACAGACTGAATCACAAGAAAGAAACTTTACATAAACCATTTATACTCAATGTTTAGTATGCTGGCAACATAAATCAACAACAATATCCATTACAAATTCATCCCTTTATCAGTATTATCTTGATAGAACTGATCCTAATGTGTGGGAATTTGAACTCTGCTTCAATACATCTAGCCCTGGATAATTAATTATTCAGGGCACAGAAAACCTGGCCCCAGCAATGTAGAGTAATTCTTCTGGTCAGCGTTAACTCCACTGGCAATAATAAATAGAAAAAGTCTCCAGTGATGCCAGTATTTTAAAGTGATTAATCATCCTTCCCCCCTAACCTCCCCCTTAGTTTTCTTTAACTAGGATTTTTCAGCAATAAATCTTTAACAATACAGGTAGGAATTGTTCTGTAATTAAATTTTGCCCTGCTTAATTTCTTACCTTTTATGTGCATTTTTAAAAATGTTACATTTTAAGGAGCCCTGATCAAAATTCAAATCAAGAAAAATCCTTTTATGGAATACAGAGACATTCTCTATGGAAGATTAAATTCTGATTTTGAATATTAGATAGAGCACATACTCATAAAAATTGTTCATCAACACCATTTGGGGTGTCAAATATTCTGAAGTTTTGAATTGCTTCATTTCATGCTTATGGTTTTTCTGTATTAGGAAAAATCTGACATATACATATGTTCCCACATGGAGAGAATAATTATTTCTTAACTTTCAGATAATTGATGTCAGCTTCTTAGAAAAGGGATATTTTTCTCTATGTTGTGGCACACAAAATGCACTTGCTGGATTGATAGATAAATGCCTGACTGAGGATGACCATGTATTTTCAAATTATGCCCCATGGAGCTGCCCAGCCATCATGTATATTCTGGGCGACAGGGACAGATGTGACATATCTCTTGTGACACACTTCTGTACCACCAGTCTGTGGCTCGAGGTGACTCCTGTCTGTCCCCTGGTGCTTTCCCCTGCCGCAGGACAACACAACGATGCACGGATGAACCTTGCCATTGCTCTCACTGCTGCCAGGTATGGGGCTGCCACAGCCAATTACATGGAGGTGGTGAACTTGCTCAAGAAGAAAGACCCTGAGACAGGAACAGAACGTGTGAGCGGGGCCCGGTGCAAGGATGTCCTCACAGGTAGGCCAAGTCTTCGGGAAGGAGCTATGTCTTAGCATTTTACCTTCCTATTCTATAATGACTAAATTATAATTTCTGTATCACTTTTCTTTCATTTAAGCCAGACTTCAGAGTTACATTAATTATATTCTTTATCGTCAATAATGATTGGTTTAACATGAAAATTTTTCCTTGTGGGACTTGACAATTTTTATCCCTTTGCATTAAATAATAATAATTATAATGATAATAAATGCCTGCAAAATTCCTACAGCTATGAATGCAATTTCTTTGCACAAACATATGATTAATAAAATTAAATAAATGTGCCAAGTTTCAAAGTATCACTTAAGTGTGACACATGCAGTGCATTTATACATCACTAAAGTTAGTCACCTTTAACTCTGGTTAGATTGTCATTCTTGCCCTGGTCCTGTAGCCATGCAGGCAGTTGGAAAGTTGCATCATTCTTGAATAAAACCAAAATGGGGCAAAATAGTGTCTCACAGCAATGCTGTTTACACAGGAGAGTTTAAGGAAAAAGTAGCTTTTTTACTCATTATACATGGTTCATGTTTCGCACCTTGGTCCTGGATACTTCGCAAATATGAGAAACAGTAGAAAAGTGGCATGCTTTTTTGCTTTAACTTGGACTTGTTTGGTAAGTTTACTCAGGAATGAGCCTTTTGTTTGGTTCTTCAGTAACCATGGCTGCTCATGTCCGTTAGTATGGCATGCAATATACCTCGCCATAGGTTAAGTTAATAGATGAATTAATAATCCATGGCATCGGTGAGCAGAGAAACAAATGGGGTGTATGAGTGATGCTGCTTTCTTTTACAGGGAAGGAATTTGATGTGAGAGCCAAGTGTGTTATCAATGCTACAGGACCTTTCACAGACGCAGTTCGCAAAATGGATGATCAGAATGCTACAGCTATCTGCCAGCCAAGTGCGGGTGTCCATATTGTGATGCCTGGTTATTATAGGTAACTGCATTTCATCTTACTGGCTAGCACCTGAGAAAGGGGGACACAAGGAATTGTCTCTGCATTTAATTTCTTCTGGTATAATACGTGACCTAACTGCTGCTCACAATGAGGAGAAATAAGAAAAGAAGCTCTTCCAAAGCAGAATATAAACCAGCCCTGTGAATGTTTTAGCTACTTGCAGCAGTACTGGTTTCTGAAGGATAATGATTTGGGATCTATTTTTTCACACTGTATTTTTCCAATGTAGTCACCTTTGAGACTTCAGTATTAATATTTTTGAATTATACTGTTAATAAAACAGTAAAAGTTAATCTTGCAGAATCTTCCAAGGGGGATGTATTTTAATTAAAACATTGCCAATTAAATTTGCAAAACTCTCAAATTTGCTTACAAATGATATGAAAATGTGGGCTGTTCTGGTATTTTGGGGATTATAATTTTGGAAGTATGTTTTTAAATATGTTATAGCAAATAAAAAGCAGCTATAATTTCTAATGTATCAAAAAAGATACAGTGGGGATGAAGAAGTGAACAAGGATTAAGAATGTTTATTAACTGAGAATCATTTAAGATGGTTAGTGGGTATATGGAAGATTTCGTTACTTAGTGTGTGTTTGAAACTTTTTCCTTTTTCTTTTTTTTTTTTTTAAATTTTGTTTTAAAGAGAATAAAACCAAACAAAATAAAACAGAATAAAGCCATTCAAAACAAAACAGTGAAAGTGATGCAGGACTTTAAAACAGGATCATAGGAAATGAACAATGGTTACCTTAATGCCATTTGTTATTTTCAAAATTGTTGCCATACCATCAGACATAATAAAATCAAACAAAACAGGACAAATAAAACCAATCAAAACAGAACACTGAAGAAAGCAGAACCATAAAATGGAACAAAACAGAACAATATTGGATTTCAGAAATAAGAGAGAAGGAAACCCCTCATATTTGCTGTATTGCATATTGTTATCCTATAAATAGATGTTTAGACTACTGGCATTAGGCCTGCAGAGTCAGTCAAACAATTACAAGCATTAAGTTGTTTTTGTATCTTGGTTGCCATCAGCTCAGCCTGTGACCCTCGCAGTCAGCTGGTTGCTTGGGGACGGGGAGCAGCGGCTCTTCTTGTCTCCCAGCCTGTGTCCGGCTCGGCTGGTTCACAGCAAGGGGGAATTGGCTTCTTGTTTCTCTTTCTGGCCCCATATGGCCGCTGCTGAAAAATTTTATGAAATTTTTCATAAAAAAGAAACATTTACGTGTTTCTTGCTAATTTACTAATAATGTTTATACCTAGTATATTAAAAACTTCTGTACAATAACTCTGTCTTGCTATGCTAAAAGTACAGAATATATATACTGTTTTTACTTCCATATATGGTAAATCTAGTAAGCAAGCTGTCAATTCTATGTGAAATAGTAACTTATAGGAAAAGCTGTTTAATGTTTAATTATTTTCTAGGGAAGATTAGAAACTATTTCTGTTACCCACCTTGGGAATAAATAAATTAGAGCATATTCAAAAAAGGAATATTGTATAGTCATATATATATATATATATATATATATATATATATATATAAATTTTTTTTTTTTTGGAAACAGAATCTTACTATGTAATTCAGCCTGGTCTTTATCTCACTATGGCAGTCCTCATGCTTCAGCCACTTGGGTGGTGGGATTACAGTTGTATGCCACCCTGCATTGTACAGCCATCACTGTAGTTGATATCCATGGTCAGACTTTGGTGTGACCTTGCAGAATTAATCCTTCATAAGAAAACAAACTTTTCCTTAAGGGGAGTATGAATTAGGTAATTTAGAACCAATGAAAGATATTTCCAGTTGGATTCTTAAAATTTTATACCATTCATTAGTAGCTTTGTCTTCCCTGTGTGCTTGTTAATTTTATGTTTGACGCATATGTCTTCACTTAAGCAGTTGATTCTCTACAGGCTCCAGTTATGTGTGTGTTGGTAACCATCACCTTCACCCTTTAAAACTGCTTTTTACGGTGCTAAAAGTTTTTAAGGTATTCACTAGTTGTGCATTTCTAACTATGTTTCCTACCTGGCTTGCTGAATGTTACAATTTGATGCTTAGTTTATCAAGTTGATTGTTCAAGGAGTATGCATTTGGTCCATGAGAATAGTTGCATATAAAATATGGCAGCATATAACTTCTCAATTTTAAAAAATAGAATTTTATTTCTTTTCTTTTCTTCTTTTTTTTTTTTTTTTTTGGTATCAGGATGAAACTCATGACCTTGAGTTTACCAGGCAGGTGCTTATCCTGCTGAGCTAAATCCCTGACTCTTTCGTATCAATAAAATACTGTTTATCATCTTGAATGCTTGAACTCTGATGTATTAATTTTCAATTCTGATGTGACTGATTTCACCTAAGGATTTATCAACTTGAAATAAAAATGTGCTTATATATAATCCCACCATTGGGGTAGCCTCAGGAATGAAGATTGTAAGTTTGCGCCCATCCAGGGCAACTTAGTGAGGCTGTTTAAAAAATACTGAAGTCTAAGGACGTAGCTCAGTGGTAGAACACCTGTGTGTTCATTCTGCAACACTGCCCCCAAAACAGTGCTTGCAAAACTTATGATTCACTGATTAACCACTTTAAGATTTTCATGACAAATACAGAGAAAAATAGGTATTGTATTTAGAGACCAAAAATACTCAACCCTCCTAGTTCTTAGTGCATTACAATAAAAGTAATTTCCTGTAAGTAACCCTAAGTGAAGGTAGGAACCTTTGCGGAAGGTCTGGGTGGTTGGCATGTGTCTGTGGTGCTTTTTCAGGTTTGCAGAGTGCTGTCCCCCTTTCTCTCCTGTGTCTCTGGTAGGGAACGGGCAGTGGTTTCTTTCTGTAAAGGCAAGGACATGATGGGCATTTCATGGAGCTGAGGGTTCATTAAAGAGAAAAACTGCATAGTAGGTCTTGTTTATATAAAGGAGATTCATTAGCTAAGCTGACTGTAGTTTTCTTTTTTATGTAAAGATATTTTGAGTTTGGCTTTAAACAGTTGTGAACTTCTTAAGAAGCCTTACACATTGCAATACATCTTTAAAATTTTAATGGAATAATCATAAAAGTTGATGGTATGCTCTTTTATTATTTACTTATTTATTTGATTTTGGGGGTTTTGTAGATTACAACTTGCTAAGTAGTCCAGGCTGGGTTTCAATTCGTTATATGGCCCAGACTGGTCTTGAATTCACATTCTCCAGCCTCAGCCTCCCAAGTGCCGTGATTACAGGCATGCGCCACCATGCCTGACTCCTCATGCCCTTTAAAATGTGTGTGTGTAAGAGGGATTTCTTGAAATGTATTCGAAGCAAATAGAATGTGTTTTTATTTAAGAAATTCTATTAATGGAAGCTAAAAATATTATACAAAGTATTTTTAACTTGGCATTTGTATGTGAATTTAGTCAAATTGAAACAGCTATCTGATTTGTTGTGCTCTATTTGATTATGACAGTTTCAGATTCCTCCCACCCCTTTAACATCTTCTCCAAATTTCTTTGAATAGCTAATGACTATTAAAAAACAGTCTCTAGTGATAAATATGACAGCTTTTGTTAATGTTTATTAACAATTGCCTATTCTTTCCAATGTGTTTTATACTTTGATATTTAGATTGATTATTCACTTTGTGTCAGTGAAAATTCTTGTCTAATATTTTGAAGATTTTATGTAACTGTCAGAAGGCAGCTTGTGCTTTCATTTAATAGCAAAATGCACTGATGTTTTCTATTTAAAAGGTTTTCCTTGCTAAGGTGTTCCTTTCCCTTTGGCTGGTTCTAGGATATCATTAGTCAGCCAGGGGTAAAAAACTGAGCTCTTTTCTTCTGCTTGCACTTCTTGAGATTTCTATAACCTTGAAATAGGGCAAGAAATCTCATATTTGGTAAAGTGGCACAAGTTCATCTTAGCACAAAGAAGTAAAGAACTTTATGATTACATTTTAGTTTCTAGAAAGTTAAACTCTACTTTCTCATGTACTTCTGAGGCCTTCTACTGAAAGAAGTGCCAAATGTCAAATGTCCAGGGAAATACTTTTCCTAGACTTGGAGGAGGGTTGAAGGGCTTTCATTGATAACAATAAAAGTGATTATAGGTATTTATCGCCCTGAAATTATCTGATGTGAATGGTCCAAGAAGAATAAAAACCAAACAATTGGAAGTTAATTAAACTTGGCTCGTCGAGGTGGGAGGGAAGTTCTACTGCACAATATTATTATTGCATTTGCATAGTACCTTGTTTTTGGCCAAATTAGTTTTCTTTTCATGAATTTCTGGATTATGGTAAGGGCAGTAAAGTAGTAGTTTATGTTTTTCTTGTTTGCTTATTTGAGCATTAGTGAATAAAATAGTTTTTTTTGGAGTGCAGATTAATACTAGAACTGAATTTCAAAACTAAATTTTTTTTTATTGTAGCCCTGAGAGCATGGGACTCCTTGACCCAGCCACCAGTGATGGGCGAGTTATTTTCTTTTTACCCTGGCAAAAGATGACCATTGCTGGCACTACTGATTCTCCAACTGATATTACACATCACCCTATTCCTTCAGAAGAAGACATCAACTTCATCTTAAACGAAGTGCGTAACTACTTGAGCTGTGATGTCGAAGGTAACAGAAACATTCCTTTAACCTTATCCCCTCTATTTTTTGGTAAAATTTATTTATTGTTTCTATTTACTAATTTTCACGGATTGTACAGTTTGCTTTATTTTCACTGGTTGTTCAGTTTTTATTGGTTAAACGTAGATTGAATTTTGGCAATTTGTACACATACATAACATACTTGGATCATTTTCATTCTTGTTCTCCTTCCTTGTTTCTCCCAAAGCTTTCCAGTACTCACTGGAGTTGCCATGTCTTCAGTCTGCCTCATCTTCACCCTGGCCTGCTGTCACTGTTTTGTGTTGCTCACTTCTATATTTATGCTGACCAAATTACAACACAATGCAAGAAACTTCATTTTCTTCTCTACTCTCTACATCCACAAGAAACTCACATAGGCCACTTCTGATAATTTCTAATGGCAAGATTGAAGTTTCACATGCAACCTCCTCTACCAGAGGAGTAGGAAATGTGTGCTTCCCTGTTTCAGTAGTTTGGGAGGCCTGACTTACAAATACAAGATAACCACAGAAATAAGTAAACAAAGAAATGAGAACATAGAAACATGTAGTCTAAGAAGTTTAATGCTCTATAGCGTAGTCCATTTAGTAATTCTGTAAGAAAATACCTGAGACTGGGTTCTTTTGTGAAGAAAAGAGGTTTATTCAGCTTACAGTTTTGGAGGTGGATGATTTAAGGTCAGGCAGTCTCATCTGTTTTGGCTCTGGTGATGGCCTCTTGGTTATGCCCAACATGCTAGCACCACATGGGTGGAGATTTTATAAGAAAAGTGAAAGGAAGAAAGAAAGGAGGCAACAAGAGACTGGAGAAGGGCCAGGAGCTCTCTGGATTGGGAGAGCTAAGTCACTGTGAGACTAGTGTTAATCATATTCAAATCATAGCAGTTCATTACCACGTGGAAAGTACAGAGAAGCAAAGTTTACTTCTTCCCAAATTTTATCTGGGCATTTTACTTGGATGTTGTATGATTTTTTTCAGTGAACTTACATAATAAAATTTTTAACTAGAGTAATTCCAGAGGTTTCCCAACATTATTCTTCCATGTTTTCCTTCTTTGTTAGCAGCCTCAGCAATCCAAACTATTGCTTTTCTTTGGTGATCTTTTAATAACATATTGTCTAATTCCTTATCTATGCCCTATGTGGAAACCACACAGGCCAATTCCCACTTAATTGCCTGGATGCATTCCTGCATCATTTCTTACATGGACAATTTCATCAGTCTCCTTATTGGGCTCTCGGAGTCAGGTTTCTATCCACACCCCATCTAACCTGACATCAAAACTCACTACAATACTCATCATCACTTTCCTGCACAAAAGTATTACTTAGGTGTTTCCTCATTAACTTTAGGAAAAGTTACATACTACATTCAATATAAGACTTTTCATAGCTATCTTTACCGGTGTACATTTACACCCTATCGATGCATTTTTATGGTTTATTTATTCTATTATCATTTCCAAGTCAAGGCGTATACTTTTAAATATTCATGCCTTGTTTTTGTTGAAGCATTTCTTTGGGATCCCCTTTCTGGCAGTACTCACATTGACAAAATATTTATGCTTTAGAAATTTTTGCAGTTCATAAACCACCTGTCATTTGTATTCTCGTGGAGTCACACTGGTCACACTGCCATTACATCATAGCATTATGTTTTCTAGGTAATAGTCTAAGATGTCTCATTTAGAGCTCTTTGAGGGTAACAATTCTTTTTTCATCTACAAAATGTATTATTTAACTGGCATACTATTCATAATTGTTTTTAGTTAAAACGTTAGTTATAGGTGCTTTCAGGGTTTTGATACTGGTAGCAATTTGAAAATTCTAAAAGTAGACAAGATTTAGGTTTTGAAAAATAGTTTTATCTGTTTTGTTAGCAGTTGTACAATATTGATTTTAGTGAAGGATACAGAGATACCATTTTAATCTAGCTGCAACTCATTAGCAGCTATGAAATCTTTTCCCCTAAAGAATTGTTTTTCATTTTGTGATCACATATTAGCAAAACAAACGACTTTGAAAAATGGTTCAAGTTACTTTTAGTTTAACCGATTAATCCATACTGTTTACTCTTCTTCCCTCTAATCTGAGAAAGAAAATGGATATAATTTCATTCTGAACAGTCTCTTTGGACTTTTACAATACTTTAAATGTATTGAATATATATTAGTGAAACCTGTATGACTTTTTTCCTTTTTTATAATCAGTAGATATTTGTACTACATAGTAATTACATTCATTGAGGTATTATTATTATTATTATTATTATTGTTAATGAGGTTTCTGTGTTTCCCAAGGTTGCCTTGTATTCACCGTCCTTCCTCCTCAGCCTTCTGAGTTGCTAGGCATGTACCGTCATATTAAATACTCCATATTGAAATGCTCAAACTTTTATTACAATTTTAGTTTTATAATTCATTTTTTCTTTTAAAATCTAGGAGGAATTCAATATCTTGGATTCTATTTCAGTACATTTATTATTAATAATGAATCCTACTTCGTTTCACATTTATCTGTGTATAAACTTTTAAAAGTGCCCTTAAGAACATTAGATTACTAGAGCAAAACAGAATTAATTTAAAAGCAGAGAGCTTTATGTTGACAGTTTCCAAAATTTTGCAGTTCAAATGGAATGGGAAATCTTACTTCTTACACTGCTGAGAAGCTGGATGTTGCTGGAAGCACTTGTGGGTTCCAGGAGGCTGTTGTGCTATAGCGTGGGTGGAATCTCTATAAGAGAAATGAGCCTTAAGCTGTAACAGATCCTGGATCACTTTTATTTTGTCTCTAAGTAGAGAGAAGATTTGGCAGTTCTTGGTTGGCCCGTGAAAGTTTTTTCAGTCGACATACCTTTTGGTTGTCATGGAATTGATGAAACTAATGAAGTTATTTTTAATTCTCACATTTGATAGAAGTGGTTGAAATTGACATCTAACTGTGACAGCTCAGATGTTTCTCCTGATAGCCTGAGGACATCTTGAGAGTAAAATCTTCTGAGGAGCAGATATGCAGGGTAAAAGCAGAGGTGACATCTCTATCATAGACTTCATTTATTTCCACTTGTGCACCATATAGTACACCTTTTCCTCTTATAGTCTTATGCTTTAAAAAGTTATTAATTGACAATGATTCTTTATAATTTGTTTCCATTCTCATTTCTAGTTAGTGTCCTCATATTTGAGGAGTTACCTTGAGCTTTATAAAATGTCAGCTAAAGTATTCCACATCTTAAAGTGAGGATATTTGTATTTTTTCCGAAGAATTTTGTTGAAACTCAGTATTCCCTTCTGTACTAAGGAAAGGTGTGAGAGAAACTCAGTTTCAGGCACCAGTCATTTGATTACATGCTGTTACCACACATATTTTGATATTTACATTTGTAGGCCATATTTTAAAAACTGCTATTTAGTACCTTTTTGTTGTTGTTGTTGTTGTCTTTTTGAGACAGTGTCTCACTATGCAGTCCAGGCTGATCTTTTTTTTGTTTGTCAGTCATTTCACACATTTATTGCTTGCATTGTTACAGCTTTATCCAGGTAGTGTTTTTGTGCAAAATTTTGCAGTGTCCCACATTTTACACATTTCCCTACCTCATTTGAAGTGAGGAATTCCTTTGCTGTTTTCAATGTGGACAGAGAAATAACCTCTTATTACTGGGAGATGATCACTCACACTGCCAGAGAAAGAGGAACCACTAGCTCAGTTGTGATCATGTGATATTTGCTGCCGCACACTGCTTGTATTGCAAGACATGGCTCATTTATCAAGTTAAATTTATCAGAAATATTTGTCCATCTTACAGAACACTCATGGAACAAGTTACTCGCAATCCAAGGTTTGACTGTATGGGAATTTCCCAAGCTCTATGATAACTCTTCCTTATTTCTTCTTCCCTGAGATGGCATGGATTTTGGGGAGGGGGTTTTATTATTTTTAATTTTTCTGATCAAAGTGTCTTCATTGGACCTTTTTGCCTTGTTTTGGAGACAGGGCCTACTATGTAACCGAGGCTGGTTGGTCATTTATCTTTTTGAGACAAGGTTTAGCTATATAGTTCAGGCTGGCCTTGTACTCACTTTGTAGCCCAGGCTGGTCTTGAACTTGGAACGATCTTCCTGCTTCAGCCTCTTAGTGCTGAGATTATAGGCATGCACCACCATGCCCGGCTCATTAGCACTATCCATTTGATTCCCTGTAACAACCTTAAGAAGCTTATTTTTCCCACAGTTGTTGAAGAAACTGAGGCCCAGTAATGCTGTTAAATTTCTTGCCCATAGCTAGTTAGCATTAGTACTTGATTGAGTGTAAGTGAGTCTGACTGTAATACATCCTTCTAAATCCTGCATAGTACTCTGATTAGTAGTTCTGGGTTTCATGATGTGATCCACTAGGGAGTGAATTAGTCTATCAATTCATTTCATGAAAGCTGCTAGACATCTCTAGAATGACAGTGACCTTTACTCTCCCCTGGCTTTATTTGGATTTGAATGTTAAACTGTGGAATGTTTCATGTCTTATAATTAATCTCCTGAGCCAACCAGTTTTCACCACGGACTAAAAAAATAAAATGTTTGGTTTAGATCCTAGAGCAGTACTTTTGAAATGTTTTGCATGCAGCCAGGGTTGAAATAATCATTTTAAAATGAATTATTAAATGGGTAAGTATAATTCTGATGACAGTTTCTGAGCCTCCCCAAATGGCTATATCCTTAAGAGGGGGAAAAAAAAGTGTCAAATCTTAACACTCCATGCTGTTCACAGCAGCTGCCACACTTCTGCAAAATGCGTTGGAACATTTCTGAAAAGCGTTTTGCCTGTTGGGAATAAGACCATGTCTTCTTTCACAATTTAGAAGGCTTTCTATTCACAGGCTGAATTTTCTAGATTACTTGTTTGTTCTTTTATGAAATGGGTAATTGATAGTTCTGCAGTTTGTATTGAGTTAGGAAGAAAAATGATCTTTTGAAAAATGTATCATTAAGT